CATGTATGTATATATATATTATACGTGTTTCTAAGAAAATGTATACATTACACCGTTTATCGTTCACCTTCGCGACATAGAACATTGAAACATACGTGCTCTTCTTCCTGTGTCTACGTTTTATATCATTGCCTCGTATTCTACCCCATCTATTGTTTAAATATTGAGTTGTCATCTCATGTGTCCTTCTGCCTTTCAGTAATGGCAGGTGCCCTTATGAGCTATTCGTGCTGCGACCACACCAACCAACCCATTCGGGTGCTGATGATGCTGCAGACACTGATCCTGATAGTCACCTGTGTCATCTACGGATTCTACCGGTCGCAACGACTTCCCTTGCGTATGTTCAAGTGTGTTGTAATGCCACTTCCTTGCCTTTACCTATCTTTGATCGTGCCCCGAGATTGCTTCGGTGTCTTCGCATTTCCTATCAGCGCATCAGTAAGTTGCGCTTTATACTGTATGACACAATGGATCAACCTCGGTCATGCTTCAAATATTTGTTTGTTTGCTGTTGTGCTTTATACTGTATGACACAATGGAACAACCTCGGTCATGCTTCAAGTATTTGTTTGTTTGCTGTTGTGCTTCATACTGTATGACACAATGGATCAACCTCGGTTGTGCTTCAAGTATTTGTTTGTTTGCTGTTGCGCTGTTATGATATTAGACCTCTCCGTATGTCCTTGCAAGGCATCGGTGAATGATATACCTAGTCCCATCCCACATTGTGTTTTTCTGCACTATTTTGGGATGCTGGATCGCGTTCCAAATTTGTGTGTTGATGTGCGTTTGTACACACGAATACAGGACGCACTTAGCTTCTTTCAGTCCTTCTTACCTGTGCGGGTGTTCAATCGGGTAGGCCTAACACACCGAGCTGATTGCTATCCTAAGCTACATGCATGTCAGCCCTGTTTGTATCGTTGTATATTCAGCTGTTCAGTACTATTCGAAGTACCGTCCCGCTGTCGGCAAATGTCTCGGCCAGCACCAGCTAGTCCCAAATCACCGCAAACGCTCCTATCTCACATCCCTTGGTATTCATTCCCCCCATCAATCAGACTGTAAGTCCCAAATCACCGCAAACACTCCTACCTCACAACCCTTTGTATTCATTCCCCCCATCAATCAGACTGTAAGATCGGGTCGTCCTACTATGCCGTGCTGATTGCCATTCCTGCGACGTTCGTAACGGGGCTGTTCTCGTCGTGTGGTCTGTCGTATAGTCATCGTGGCTACGAACGCCTTGCGTAAGCACAGTTGCTCGTGTAATACATGACTCCTACTATTGTGGATAAACGTAACTAGGGCTACCCTAGAATGAATAGATGAGACGGTCATATAGATACGCCTTCAAGTCGTATGTCCTGTGCATCTGATCTTGTTCAAAGTCTTCGAAGTAATTGGAGAGCAGGCCTTGGGGTCTCCAGCGACATGACAGAGGCCTTGCTATCGCCTACGGCGTCAGAAGCGAAGCCCTGGTCGGATGTGTAACTTACACCACACAATGCAAGCCAAGCGTGCTTCTGTGGTTGCTATGTGCTGCGTGTGTGAGTACGGCGCATAGCGACGGTGTCGTGTGGATTTTTTGGAAGGAAAGTCGAGTGGCATAGTGTATTGATTGAGTGTCTTTTGGGCGTGTATATGGTGGTAAAAGTACACTCGAGTACCTATACGAGTAGTGTACAACAGACTTGCGGGACGACTTAAGCGCTATTATACTTCATCTCCATAAGGCAATGATGGTAATCATGCGCGAGGTATATCGCGGATTCTCATGTGTTCGCATATCCGGCTACGATTACGTTCGTTGTATACTGGTGGTGGTATCTGAGCTCCTCCCAAATGATAGCTAACCACATACTCGCTTCATCAGAACGTGTGGAGGCCGCAAACATAACATCATAAGCATGTGCTTTACGTTTGCATAAGTGTATGCTTAAGCATCAGCTACATATACACTGAAACATGAGGGTTGTCAGCACACTCTTATTAATTGTATCAACACACTCTCATTAAGTTCAGCTCACTCTCATTAACCACATTCGTTGCGTATTAAGTGGTGATGTCACAATCGAACAGAGATTCAAGTGGTGTGCACTCACTTTTGGATAGAAACCAAATTGGAAATAAGTTCAGTTTTTGGGAATAAAATAAGCCAAAACTACGGATATCGATCATTGCTTACGACCAAACTATTTCACACATGCGTGATTTTATGAGAACGTCACGATATGAGTTGTGCTGACTTGCGTGATGGTCTCCAGCGCACCGCCTATTGCTATTTCTAATGATTAGTTTATTATTCTCCGCTATCTATACGCCTTGCGAATGTGAATCCGAGTCCGTGTGTGCTCGCCCGTGCACAACATACTCTTGCATACTACTTCTTGTACATCTACGCGCCACTGATAGTAACCTATACTTCATGGAGATGTAGGTACAACACTAATGAGTGGGGGCTTGTAAACACTGACCCAATGCATACACCCACGTCGTGTACGCTGAAGCTATGCTTGCCTGTGTCTGCGTACGATTATTCGACCTTCTTCGGCTCTTTCTCTTTAGCCCGGTCTTTCCTCCTGAGTACACCCCTGACCATGTAGTACGACGTCAGTACATTGAGTGCCAGATACAAAGTCGCCATCGGAAACCACGGACAGGCACTGGTATCAAAGTGCCGGTCGCGCTCCCCAAGTGGTATACTGCTCCACCACAGCCAAAAGCTGGTATCAAATCTGAACACCACGTGTGTGATGTACATGAGTGGATCCAGCACGTGGGTGCGCAAGTCGTAGCCCAAGAGTGTGGGGGGTGCGGCGGTGGTGGCCTGGCAGAGTGTGTAACAATACAGGACAAATCAGACAGTGGAAAGCTTTGAATAGCAGTAGGGTGTCGTGTTGTAGCATACATTGTATTTCTGAGCTGAAACATACAGAGAGTAGACATGAAGTTCATAGTGCGTCATTCTGACTACTTCACCATACGTTGGAATGGCCCATATGTTTACGATCCATGTGTACCTATCATCATCCGTAGGGACGAACAAGAGAAACATAACGAATGCAAGAAGCGCATCCGTACGTGGTTGGGGTACATCACGTGAGCACTAGTGCTCGGGCGTGTATACGCATACACACACACACACACACACATTCGCCATATGGCCAGCTATACTCACCCGGGAAGCACGCATGCGCACCAAGCACTTGATGTGTAGAACGACGCTATTCGCCTCGCACAGTGTCGCCAGCACCATGTGCCATAGAAAGTAGGTGTTGTGCAGAGAGTATACCAGCCCACTCAGCACCACCGCATGATGCAGCACAAGGGTAGGGCTCTCTCTGAACAGACTGGCATGGTACATACTACACCCGATGATATCATACACGTTGTACGCCGCAAACCACACCACCATGGACCGGGTATAGGCCTTGGTGAAGGTGGGGTGCGTGTAGCTGCACACAAACAGGGCTATCGACCACACAGCTAGGATGACGCTGTTCACGAGCGATGCCACCTCGTTGGCCCAGGCGTGAGCAAACAGCTTGTCCTTGTGGATATGTGGCTTGGTTGTCTGTAAGGTGGGGTCGAGTTAGTGCCGGTTGAATGGCTAAGAATGGATATGGTCTTACCAAGAATGTATATCTTTCAAGTCGAGTGGTTTGGTAGAGTATGTGTAGATTCGTGTGGTATGGTATGGTTTGCGATGTGTCACTGCACAGGCACACCTTTCGGACTGAACAGTGCATGCCTAAGATGTGTATTTGCTGTTTTGGTTGCAAAAATAACACGCTTCGCCAATGCAAATATAGCATGTCTGCCCTTAGAATTAGTTTTAGGCATCTGATGTTGAGATTTGCTTTCGGTGCCAGTTAAGACTGAATATAGCTAGTCAGAATAGACCTGCCCAGTACGTGTAACGTGTCAACGAACGAGGCCCGTGCGATTGTACGCAGGATGCTGCATACTGTATCGGTATGAATCGATAGTACATGGCATACGACCTGACATGCATGTATTCTCGAACGGATTGGGACGGTGATATAGCAACAAGCGTGTGACTCGGTACTGGGTGATATGCAGTCGTATTGCGATGGTGGACTGGGATATTGAGGGATATGTGAAGAGCTTACTCACACTGGGCTTTGACGACAACTCCTTTCAGCTACCACTCATAGTGTGTATCACTAGCTTAGGCAGCCAAAACTAAAGCCACACGTCTCCGCATTGTAACACAGATACAAAACAAGCGAGATGCCAATGTGATAAAAGATATATAATATGAAATGGTTTGAAGCACTCTCGTACACTTACGCGCCGTATAACTATTCGAATCCGCAGATTAGGAGGAGCGCTGTTTAAAACGGGAGCGATAAATGCATTCCATTTTAGATCGACAGGCGCGAACTATTTTGAATGATTTGTGTCTCTATATCTGCAGATTGTGTGGTCAGCCATGACTTTCGAATTGTGCTCACACTTCTCTCTGTACGTTTACAGCATGACTGCTCAGTTTTAATACTGTACGGCGTCATATACGGATGTGAATTGTATTGGGCAAGGGAAGGTAATAGTGTAGCTGCATAGCATGAGCAATGCGAGAATGCCTGTGTTTACATATTTCTAATAAATGAGGGGCTGAGTCGGGATACAACTAATAAGAACTTCTAAATCCTCGAAACAGTCCGTACAAAGGTATCAAAAAAAAAATCTCGACAGAAAGCTAACAGCATAGGCTGATATACATACGTTTCTTACACTTATAAGTATATGGAAGAAAACAGCGCTGAGAAATCAACACTATTGTAGTGTATTGCAATATCTCATATTTGAATACTGGGTTTAACACACACTAGTCTCTGTACCTGGCCCTTTCACGTCGACTACACTATAAATTCTATACATATCAACATGTAAGCCAGCGTCTACATTGATTCTTGAATTGGGTGCGCATGCACACCTAAAACACAAAATTGTAGTCCACAGTAATAGTGAACGTATTTTATTACCATACATACCTTTGGAACGTTTAGTGAAGGTATTTAAGAACCATACACACCTTTGGAACGTATAGTAACAGTATTAAATTGCCATACATACCTTTAAAACGTATAGTGACAGCATTTAATTACCATACATACCTTTAAAACGTATAGTGACAGCATTTAATTACCATACACACCTTTGGAACGCTTTGTAGACCCAGAATGTAGACATACGACAAGAACGCCACCACTGCGGCGCTATACACTGCATCTGACGGAAAAACAAAACCTTCAGATGGTATGTCAGCGTATAGATAGCCTCCACCGACCATCGTTCTATGCACAATGCGTGTGTTTATACGGCCAGATCTAACATCCGTTAGTATAGCACCAACTTCTTCCTGACGTAAATATTAATATGTTAAATATGTGCTATTATGTTTCAATTTACGTTATAAATATGTGCTACTGGTTCAATTCTTTGGAGGATGCATAAAAGCTGCTGTTTATCTGTTGATCTGTTGTGACTTTTAAAAAAATTTCTTCTGAAATTTGATGACGAATCACTGAACCTCATTACGTTAGGGTAGTGCAGAGTATACGTTGAACGTGAACGTATAAAGTTTTGATATCTATACGTTATAACATACAAATTGGGTAAAATAAATCTGACGTACTATACAAGAGATAATAGGATCCATGGTGAAATAACTATTAACATTGCACCTCAATACCAAAATAATGCACCTATATTGAAGACATAGGACTCCAGAAAAGTAGACGTTTAACGTAAAGGTGGAAAAAGAATGATATTATACGTTACAACGTAAAACGTAGTGGCAATGTCACAGAGCCGCAGGTACCTTTTTTGGCAAATATGTTTAAAATAGCCAAATTTTCACATTCAAATAGTCTTCGCTCTGGGAATTGAGTAATCACTACAGTCAGTTGCATGTTCATGATATAGGATAGGCAAGGGCTTATGTTAATGGCGTCAATAGAAGGTGCTGCAAGATGCCCGCAGACATGGCGACGTCCAGATTATTCGATATTATCACAGAAGGTAAAGTGAACACTCCAGTAGGGCACTATGCAGCGCATGTTTAGCAGCGTGTATATAGTCATAGTACGGACAAATAATGGGCAATAATATGAGACTATCGTATAATTGTGTATTTGATCTATGGCTAAAAGTCTGCATAAGTGGCTCTGTATCTCTGCATGCGCTTTGTTCGATTACAAATCTGCCATATTTACAGAGCGACTGGTATGTCCACATTTATATGCCACATACGCACTCCCTTATAATATTATATATATATATATATATATATATTTATTTATATGTATTTATATATATACACACACACACATATATATATAAATATATA